GCCCAAAAAGAAGCAGGAGCTTCTTTTGGCCACAAACACTCATAGAGCAGCCCACTGAAGTAAAATCATGTGAAAATCGTGCATCAAAAATTTGTGAGCGTTGATGCGTATGAGAACAGGGCCTTCCCCTGGCAAAACCATCTACATTACACTGTCTACTTAGCACCAGCAAGGAATGTTAACTTTACAGATTATCAGGGACAAAATATGACCCTCAAAATAAATAATATTCAGAAACTTCTTTTATAACAGAGTGGCCACGCATGACTGTGTTATTGTATACCAGCAAAGCAAAACACCACAGCAAAGCGACTGCCGAAAACTACACTTCCCAGAATCCCTCGCGTTCAGGCCCAGGCACGCAGGAGGGCAGCGAGAGAGGCGCATGCGCAGAACTTGCTTGTCATTGCTGCAGCATGGCGCTGCTTGGAGTTGTGAGCAGGTAAAGAGGGGAGCAGAGTGAGGGGTTTGCGATCGGTGGGGGATTGGGGTGATCAGTGTGGTCGGGGGGTGTGAGTGTTCCTTCACCTGGCTTCTTAGTTCATGGCACTCGGGATTGTAATTGCTATTGACCTTGTATAGGTGTCAGAGGGAGCTGGGGGCAGGCGTTGAATGGTTAGTCCTGGGCAGAACAGGAGTGAAGTCGTGTCAGGATGGATTTCAGTCTGTTGATGTGATATAGGACTGGGGTTCAGGAAGCTCTAAATTGAACAGTTCACAGGCTTACTTTGCAGAGACTTAGAGGAATTATAAATACAAAAATACAGAACAAATACTGTAGCTGCTGACTTTGGATGAAAGGACACTTTGCCTATCCAGGGATCCAGTGGTGTCCTTATCCAGGACGGTTCTTTGCCGGTCTTTGGGTCTCCATTGCCGCCTTGTCTAGCGGCTCCTTGTGGCTTCCCACTGCACATATGCGAGTCACGCTGTGCTTTGTGAAAGGTCCCGCAGACTCCTGGGACCTGTGATGTGTCCCAGAAGGCTGCAGGCAAGGAGGGTGTCAGCTCCCCCTCCCTCAAAAAAAAGTACCCAAAAATTAAAGGGGAACTGGAAAAGCAGAATATTTGGGTGAAGTTCCGCTTTAAGGGCTGGTTCATACTATACAAACACAGTCCAGATGCGTTCCGGGTGTTTCTGCATGCGCGTTTTTGGCACACTCCAGTGTGTTTTTGATACTTTCCGGTTCATTTTTCCCCCCTCTTTTTCTTCATTTTAAAGAGGGACATGTGCTTTCCAGTGCATTTTTGGTGCGTTCCGGTGCGTTTTTTTATGCATTTACCATGTTCCAGTACAGTTCTGTGCAGAAAAAATGCAGCATGTTATACTTTTTTTCTGCAACCAGAACACACTAGATCTGCAAGCACTGATGTGAACTATGACATTGACAACCATATAACCTACTTTCTGTGCGTTTTGGATGCAGGAAAAAAGCAACTGAAATGCATATAGTGTGAACTGGCACCAAATTCTAGGTTCACACCTATGCAGGTTGCATTTGAGGCGTTTTTGGATTGCGTTTTGCACTTGCGTTTTTGCAGGATTTTTTTTTTTTTTCTTGTTAGGCAGATTTTAAATGGAAAACGCATCAAATACATGGCAAAAACGCAACAGATGCTTTTCTGCAGCATTCCCATTGAAGTCTATAGAACCAAAAACACAACATTATGCGATCAAAAAAGTCCTGACCCTTTCCAAAAAACACACTGGATGAAAACGCGCAGATTGGATCCTGTCTAAAGTGGCCCTAGTATGTGTATATATGAATGTAAGTTAGGGACATTAGATTGTACACCCCTTGAGGGTTAGAGACTGATGTGAATGTACAATATATATGGAAAGAGCTGCGTAAATGGACGGCGCTGTATAAGTACCTGAAATAAATAAATAAATATGTGAATCTGTCCCATAGGAAATCGGGCTAAATGGACTGTACTGTATTTCTGCAAAACGCTGTAGAAAACGCTTAAGTGTGAACCTAGGATTAAGTAGTTCTAAAGTCTGACATTTTTTTTTTAACCTTAACCCCTTGCCCTAAAGAGGATTTAGCCCCCGACCCCCCTTCCTGACCAGGCCATTTTTTTTGTGATACGGCGCTGCATTACATTTAACTGACAATTGCGCGGTCATGCAACACTGCACCCAAATTAAATTTACATTCTATTTCTTCCCACAAATAGAGCTTTTTTTCGTTGAATTTGATCACCTCTGCGGTTTTTATTTTTTTTGTGTTATAAACAAAAAAAGACCGACAATTTTGAGAAAAAAAACAATATTTTAAACTTTTTGCTGTTAATCATGCCCAGTAAAAAAATTTTAACTATCAAATTTCTTTATAAATTTAGGCCAAAATGTATTCTACTACATGTTTTTGCTAAAAATATCCAAATCGTTGTAAATTATTTTCCAATTGTGGTGTATATACTGGATTTTTTATTTATTTTAATTTCTTCATACTAGTAATGGCGGCGATCAGTGACTTATAGCAGGACTGTGGCGGGCATTCCGACACGGGGGGGGGGGGGGGGGGGGGGGGGGGACTTGCTTACTGCCACTGAATTCCTCAGTGACACTAATACAGTGATCGGTGCTAATAAAAAGCACTGACACTGTACTAATGACACTGGGCAGGAAGGGGTTAACATCTGGGGAGATCAAAGGGTTAACTGTGCTGTGTTTTGCTGTGCAGAGAGATACAAAGCAGCATGTCCATGCTGACAGGAGAGAGACCTCTGTTGTTTACACAGGTCTTTCCCCTGTCAGCTTTACTCGATGATTGCTGAGTGCCAGCCGGGAATCCCTGGTGATTGACATCCCTAGGTGCCAATAGCAGCGTGGGTAGAGTGGCATGTACACGTGCGTGCCCCCTACCCGGAAATGCAAATCATATATATATATATATATATATATATATATATATATGTGTGTGTGTGTGATTTTGCGCAGCCCTGCAGCAGTACTTCTGCTATAGGGCAGTGGGAAAGTGGTAGTTAAGCACAATTAAATGTTCTTTATTTTTTGGGGCCCCAGGTGAGTTATGCCATAATGTACTAGTGTGGACCACATATTAGCACATTATGACCGAATTACCTCCCAAAGAAGCCTTCAGTATAATCGATCCGGTGGGCCTACAGTGCTTCCATCTTCACCTGGTCTTCCTTTCGGGTTTCGTGCCTTCGGATGCTTGAATGCCCGGGTGGCAATGACATCGCTCACACGCATTCGCATGAGAGTCACGTCGCCACAGCACAGATCGGGGACGGAAATCTACACTGAGCTGCGCATGCGCGGCTCAGTGTGTATGATGGCTGACAGGCAGGAAGATGCTTTTATGGCAGAAGAGACCAACAGGGTCTCTTCTGTCATAAATGTCCTGTCTATGAGCAATTTTTCAAAATATCACTTTACTACCACTTAAATGCATTTCCTGAATTAAAGTATATAACTTTTACAGCTCTGCTCCCCCCGTCCCCAAAAGTCCTCAGTTGATCCAGTTGTACCCATCTTCATCTCTTCTCTCCTCTCTCCCTTTTCCCACAGGTCAGAGGCAGTAGTGGGAACCATTGGCTCCTGCTGTTGTCAATCAAATCCTGTGAGGGGTAGGGCTGAGTCAGTGGACACACAGCCCCGGCTCAGCATGGAGCCCACAGGTGCCTTTTTCATTTCGGCTGAAACGTTTCGGTCACCGAAATTTCGGTGCTTCCCTAAAAATAACTATTTGCATGTGCTGTGTAGTGTGAAAGACCAGATATTGTGAATGCAGGGTCCTGGGTTTAATAATATTTTAATGTTAAAAATGTGTACATGTGCTATTTATATATATATATATATGCACATACATATTTAATTTCATTACTAGATTTTAAAGCCGTACATGGATCGAAATTTGACCAGTTCAGCAAGGACCAGCCAAGATTCGATCCATGTATGGTCAGGCTGAATATACTTCTTTATTACAGGTACTTGTATAGCGCCATCAATTATATATATATCATTGATATATAATTGAATCAATCATATATATTCATATACATTCACATCAGTTCCTAACCCTCAAGGGGCATACAATCTAAAGTCCCTACTCACATTCATACATACACATACTAGGGACAATTTGGACAGGATCCAATTAACCTACCAGCATGTCTTTGGAGTGTGGGAGGAAACCGAAGTATCCAGAGGAAACCCACTCAGGCACAGGGAGACTTCTACTTAAGTTGATCCATTGATCGACTTGGGTACAACCAGCCTGTCGGATTTTTTGACGTTTAACCACCTTCTGCCCGCCATATAGTCCAATGACGGACGCAAGGTGGTTCTCTCGTTCTGGGAGGACGTCATATGACGTCCTCCCATTCTCACCGTGCATTCGCGGCTCAGGTAGCGCACAGCGCGGCGATCGGCAGTGCGCTGTGTCCCTCCGACACAGCGGATCACCGATCACGGAAAGAGCCGAAAATGTCGGCTCGGTCATGTGATCAGCTGTGTTCAATCACAGCTGATCACATGTAAACATAGAAATGCCGGTTATCGGCATTTCTCTCCTCTCGAGCTGTCAGAGAGCCGGTAATCGGCTTTCCGTGGAGGGGACATGTACACTGATCATCAGGGCACTGATGATCAGTGTGCCCTGAGGATCAGTGTAGCCCCAGCAGTGCCACCTGTCAGTGTCCATCAGTGCCTTGTGTCAGTGCTCATCAGTGCCTCGTGCCAGTGCCCAATCAATGCCACATATCAGTGCCTACCAGTGCACATCAATGCCACATATCAGCGCCCATCTGAACTGCCTTTCAGTGTCACCCATCAGAGCCACCTATGAATGCCAATCAGTGCCACCTATCAGTGTCAGTCAGTGCCGCCTATTAGTGCCATGTATCAGTGCTGCCTTTCAGTGCCCATCAGTGATGCCATCAGTGCCCATGTATCAGTGCTGCCTTTCAGTGCCCATCAGGGATGCCTGTCAATGCCCATCAGTGCCGCCTATCAGTGCCACCTATCAGTGATGCCTGTCAATGCCCATCAGTGCCACCTATCAGTGTCCATCAGTGCAGCCTATCAGTGCCCACCACTGCAGCCTCATTAGCGCATATCAGTGAAGGAGAAAAATCACGTATTTACAAACTTTTATAACAAAAACTAAGAAAAAAACTTTTTTTTCAAAAATTTCAGTGGTTTTTGGTTTAAGAAAAAAAAAAAAACCCAGAGATGATTAAATACCACCAAAATAAAGCTCTATCTGTCACAAAAAAAAGATAAAAATTTCATATGGGTACAGTGTTGCATGACCGCGCAATTGTCATTCAAAGTGTGACAGCGCTGAAAGCTGGAAATTGGCCTGGGCAGGAAGGGGGTATAAGTGCCCTGTAGGCAAGTGGTTAATTACTGCCAGCAGCTGTAACAACTGTGTTCTGCCCACCAGGAAGGCGCCCTTCGACCCCATGCTGGCAAAACACAATACCATTGCTGGGGGCATACCTGCATCAATACTGACTGTGCTGATGGGGGAATCAAGCGATTTTCTTTTCTTGCACCTGTGGTGCAAGAAAAGAAAATTGAGTAATCTATGGGCTGCTTAAAAGGTGCATTTACATCTCTGTGACTTGTTGTGTTTCAGTACATTAAAGAAAATGCTTGCAGCATCTTTGATGCGATTTCCATCAAAATGCATTTTTTGGGATGAATAGTAACACATGTAAAATAAATTCCAATCCCGCATCAAAACATAATTCTCACACATAGGTGTAAATCTATCAGGAAGACACAAGGAGTGTACTAAGCTTCACTTTAATGTATAATTTTTGGGTGGACTGACCGTATAATGTATATATTGTTGCTCTCATATTTTGTTTCTGAACATTGTTATACTGTATATACATTTTTATCATATAATATTATAGAACTAACAAAAATACTTTTGTTTTTCATTTATTCAAGGCTTCTGTGGCAGAAACCATCTCTGCCTGCTCTATTTACACAACACAGGACATTTTCAAACGTATTTCGGAGCATGAACCTGGGAGAGTATCCCTCATCTTCCCTTCCTGCAGGCAGCAGTATTTTGACACGGGTGGTACCTTCGCACTGGAGCTTGCTTCCTGTCCGAACCAAGAAGAGGGGCATGGAATACCAGCCCAAGTTCATTAAACGTCAAAGAACGCATGGATGGTTTAAACGGATAAGCACAAAAGGGGGCATAGAAGTCATTCTGCGCAGGAAGCTGAAGGGGAGGAAATCAATGACTGTCTGAAAATCATGTTCTGTTATATTAAAATGTATGTACTCTAGTTACATGCAAAGTAAAGTTGTCCCTATGCCTTTAGGAAACATTCCACCAGTTTTTGATTCATTGTGAAAATGATAAAAAAAAGTGACATTTGTTTTCACTGTTTATAAATGAAGTTTCACATTTTCTCGAGCAAAGAATGTTTGTTTGGTCTGGTAACAGAAAAAGTAAGATAATTTGCTTCTTATGGAGGTCAGTGCCCAAAACTAAGTGCACTAATGTCCCAAAAACACATGGTTTACATGCTATGTATTAAATGAGCGATAAGCCAAACTTTTATTTTAACCCAGTTTATGCCTTTGTAAATTTAAAAAAAAAAAAAAAAAAATATATATATATATATATATATATATATATATATATATATATTGTTCAAAACACATCAGATCTCAATGGGGAAAAATATCATGCTGGATATCTATACTGATATGGACTGGGTAATGTGTTAGGAACGTAAGGATGCCCCATCGTTTAGTGGAAATGAAAATTATCAACCTACAGAGGGCTGGATTCAAAGACACCCCGAAAATCCCTGAAAATCAAAGTGAAAAATGATGCAGCAGGCTAGTCCATTTTGCTGAAACTTCATTGCAGCAACTCAAAATGGTACTCAGTAGTTTGTATGGCCCCCATGTGCTTGTATGCATGCCTGATAGCATCGAGGCATACTCCTCATGAGACGATGGATGGTGTCCTGGAGTAATTCCTCTCAGATCTGTACCAGGGCATAACGGAGCTCCTGGACAGTCTGAGATGCAACCTGGTGGCGTTGGATGGACCCAAACATATGTGGAAACAGATACAAAACCTCCTGCGTGCAGAGACCCAGATCAGAATTCAACGGGTAGAACAATACGTGAAAGTTCATCCAATAGCGGATTAAAGGTTGTGCAGCTTAAACACAAGGCTGGGGAAGCCCAATAAAAACTAACACAAAGAACAAAAAACAAAAGCGCACCAACCTTGCGCATTACCTCAGTAAGTAAAGGGTGAATTTATTGAATTGAGATATATACTCACAAAAGTAGCAATAATAAAAGCATATAAAATCCAACATCAGCGCACTGGAGTAGGAGACACGCGCGGAACCCATCGAGAGGGGAGACTTTCAGGATGAAGCTGACCTGTTTTGAAGGGGGATCCCTTCTTCCTCAGAGCTGAGGAAGAAGGGATCCCCCTTCAAAACGTGGCACAGCTCAGGAAGGGATCCCTCTTTGAAACGCATCAGCTTCATCCTGAGAGTCTCCCCTCTCGATGGGTTCTGCACGTGTCTCCTATTCCAGAGCACTGATGTTGGACTCTACATGCTTTTATTATTGCTACTTTTGTGAGTATATATCTCAATTCAATAAATTCACCCTTTACTTACTGCGGTAATGCGCAAGATTGGTGTGCTTTTGTTTTTGTTCTTTATTACTAAAACATGATATCCCAGAGGTGTTCTATTGGATTTAGGTCTGACGAGCGTGGGGGCCATTCAATGGTATCAATTCCTTCATCATCCAGGAACTGTCTGCATCCTCTCGCCACATGATTGTCCAGCATTGTGCACCAGGAGGAACCCCGGACCCACTGCACCAGTGTAAGTTCTGACAATGGGTCCAAGGATTTCACCAGGAGACCTAATGTCAGTTAGGGTGCCATTGTCTAGTCTGTAGAGGTCTGTGTGTCCCTCCATGGAATTGCCTCCCCAGACCATCATTGACCCTCCACCAAAATGGTTATGCTGAACCATGTTACAGGCAGCATAACATTCTCCAGGGTTTCTCCACACTCTTTCACGTCTATCACATGTACTCAGGGTGAACCTGCTCTCATCTGTGAAAAGTACAGTGTGCCAGTGGCGGACCTGCCAATTCTGGTGTTCAATGGCAAATGCCAATCAAGCTCTATGGTGCCAGGCAGTGAGCACAGGGCCCACTAGAGGACGTCGGGCCCTCAGGCCACCCTCGTGAAGTCTGTTTCTGATTGGTTAGAGACATTCACATCGGTGACCTGCTGGAGGTCATTTTGTTTCTGAACATTGTTATACTGTATATACATTTTTATCATATAATATTATAGAACTAACAAAAATACTTTTGTTTTTCATTTATTCAAGGCTTCTGTGGCAGAAACCATCTCTGCCTGCTCTATTTACACAACACAGGACATTTTCAAACGTATTTCGGAGCATGAACCTGGGAGAGTATCCCTCATCTTCCCTTCCTGCAGGCAGCAGTATTTTGACACGGGTGGTACCTTCGCACTGGAGCTTGCTTCCTGTCCGAACCAAGAAGAGGGGCATGGAATACCAGCCCAAGTTCATTAAACGTCAAAGAACGCATGGGTGGTTTAAACGGATAAGCACAAAAGGGGGCATAGAAGTCATTCTGCGCAGGAAGCTGAAGGGGAGGAAATCAATGACTGTCTGAAAATCATGTTCTGTTATATTAAAATGTATGTACTCTAGTTACATGCAAAGTAAAGTTGTCCCTATGCCTTCAGGAAACATTCCACCAGTTTTTGATTGTGAAAATGATAAAAAAGTGACATTGTTTTCACTGTTTATAAATGAAGTTTCACATTTTCTCGAGCAAAGAATGTTTGTTTGGTCTGGTAACAGAAAAAAAAGTAAGATAATTTGCTTCTTATGGAGGTCAGTGCCCAAAACTAAGTGCACTAATGTCCAAAAAACACATGGTTTACATGCTATGTAACTTAAATGAGCTATAAGCCAAACTTTTATTTTAACCCAGTTTATGCCTTTGTAAATTAAAAAAAAAAATATATATATATATATATATATATTGCTCAAAAAAATTAAAGGAACACTTTGAAAACACATCAGATCTCAATGGGGAAAAATATAATGCTGGATATCTATACTGATATGGACTGGGTAATGTGTTTGGAACGTAAGGATGCCCCATCGTTTAGTGGAAATGAAAATTATCATCCTACAAAGGACTGGATTCAAAGACACCCTGAAAATCCCTGAAAATCAAAGTGAAAAATGATGCAGCATGCTAGTCCATTTTGCTGAAACTTCATTGCAGCAACTCAAAATGGCCACGGGAAAAAGCAAATTGCAGTACCGCGGTTGCCGCGATTTGTGTTTTCCCACGGTTGGCGGTCAAAACGTTCCTATCCTTAACGCGATTCTTCCGCGCTCAGTAGAGGGAGGTTTGACCTCACCTAAACACAGCAGCTCCTAAACTCTGTCAAAAGCCTATGTGTACATGGACACACTGGCTTTTATGGAGTTGAGATTAGGAGCTTTGGTAAAAAATGCCAAAAGCTCTTGTCTAAATCATATACATATTGTAACAATTTCATTTGTTGTAGCCATTAAGAGCAGATCAAAGATTTGTACTTTGGTTTGACGGTAACATAAGTTCATCTAAACTCCAAAACCTAAGCCTAAAACTGATCATCTATTCTGCACCAGCATCTCCGCTTGCACCAGCAACTAACATTTCAGAAATGAAAATGTAACTGCTTTGAGAGATATCCATGTACTGTATATTGAATATCGTGCAAAAGTTCATTTATTTCAGTAATGCAACTTAAAAGGTGAAACTAATATATGAGATAGACTCATTACATGCAAAGCAAGATAGTTCAAGCCGTGATTTGTCATAATTGTGATGATTATGGCTTACAGCTCATGAAAACCCCAAATCCACAATCTCAGAAAATTAGAATATTACATGCAATCAATAAAACAAGGATTGTACATAGAACAATATCAGACCTCTGAAAAGTAGAAGCATGCATATGTACTCAGTACTTGGTTTGGGCCCCTTTTGCAGCAATTACTGCCTCAATGCGGCGTGGCATGGAAGCTATCAGCCTATGGCACTGCTGAGGTGTTTTGGAAGACCAGGATGCTTCAATAGCGGCCTTCAGCTCTTCTGCATTGTTCGGTCTCATGTCTCTCATCTTTCTCTTGGCAATGCCCCATAGATTCTCTATGGGGTTCAGGTCAGGCGAGTTTGCTGGCCAATCAAGCACAGTAATCCCACGGTCATTGAACCAGGTTTGGTCCTTTTGGCAGTGTGGGCAGGTGCCAAGTCCTGCTGGAAAATGAAGTCAGCATCCCCATAAAGCTCATCTGTGGAAGGAAGCATGAAGTGCTCCAAAATCTCCTCATAGACGGCTGCATTGACCCTGGACTTAATGAAGCACAGTGGACCAACACCAGCAGATGACATGGCTCCCCAAATCAACACAGACTGTGGAAACTTCACACTGGACTTCAAGCATCTTGCAGTGTCTGCCTCTCCATTCTTCCTCCATACTCTGGGTCCTTGGTTTCCAAATGAGATGCAAACGTTGCTCTCATCAGAAAAGAGAACTTTGGACCACTGAGCAACAGACCAGGTCTGTCTTTCTTTAGCCCAGGTAAGACGCTTCTGACATTGTTTGTTGTTCAGGAGCGGCTTGACAAGAGGAATACGACATGTGAAGCCCATGTCCAGGATCCATCTGTGTGTGGTGGCTCTTGATGCACTGACTCCAGCCTCAGTCCACTCCTTGTGAAAGTCCCCAACACTTTTGAATGGCCTTTTCCTGACAATCCTCTCCAGGCTGCAGTCATCCCTGCTGCTTGTGCACCTTTTTCTTCCACACTTTTCCCTTCCACATAACTTTCTATTAATGTGCTTTGATACAGCACTTTGGGAACATCCAACTTCTTTTGCAATTACCTTTTGAGGCTTTCCCTCTTTATGGAGGGTGTCAATGATGGTTTTCTGCACAACTGTCAGGTCAGCAGTCTTTCCCATGATTGTGATTCCTACTGAACCAGACTGAGAGACCATTTAAAGGCTCAGGAACCCTTAATTAGCTGATTAGAGTGGGACACTTTGAGCCTAGAATATTGCACCTTTTCACAATATTCTAATTTTCTGAGATTGTTGATTTGGGGTTTTCATGAGCAGTAAGCCATAATCATCACAATTATGACAAATCATGGCTTG